ATATCTTGAGAAGATCACCAGTTAACGAAAAAATGTGACATGACAGGGCTTACTGAGGCAATTCTTTACATTTGTGACGGATTTTTTGCACTTTCCATCCTTGAATGTGTAATTAGTTCTGATGTTATATAAGCAATTCTTGTTACATTTCTGCGTTATCTTCAGTGCCTCTTTGCAACCTGTAATTAAAAAAATACATTAATTTTTAATATTTTTAGATGATAATTAGAAATAAACTATTTCTTTTTAATCTAAGATGCTTCAGGTAATTTCTTAGCCCGCAGAGTCAACTGCAACTTTCTTAGAGTCTGCATCCTATGCCTAACTTCTTGTACGAAGTTTTTTTGGTTAATCATTACTACTGAAAGTAATAACGTTTACATAATTGCAGCTCAGCAGTCAATTTTACACATAGGCATGAAGACCAAGAGGTTGTGTCCTCTATTTTAGTCGCAGTCTCCTTTCGATATACAGAAATGGTCTAACCTTATTTTTGCGACTTGTTCGTTGTAGTTGGCATACTCACTGAGTATTGTCATTCTCAATACCAAGCTACAGATCGTCGAAAAGACATGTGATGTCAATCCCTTCAGCGACCTCCGGCCGAATGGTCGGTAGTAATTTTTGCCGTCGCCATCGACATAGCAATATTAACGCTAATTTGCAAATGTTCCAAATTAAATAATTGTGTTATTATCTCTCAATACCCCCGATAGTTTGACGTATAGCGTGCTTCTTGGATTAATTCTGAAGGAAAAAGTAACAAGGTACCAAGATGCAAAACGCATTTTTAGGAGACGATATGATCTGAAGTCAAGAAAAATTTCTGCTATTTAGAAACTACGAGATTTGCAAGCAAAATCTCCTTAGTGTTTATTTCTATCAGGCATCTTTAACAAATGCTTTTTATATCCATGTGGATTTCATATTAGCAATAGATCCACAACTGAGATTGTGTGGCTTCCATATGAACCATTAGCCGTAGCAATTTAGTCTCGAGAGAACTGGCTAATATAAGAATATGAAGAGTTCACTCGAAATTAGATCTCACCAGAAGATGATTATAGCTTCACAATTTTTATAGCAGTTTCTTGGTAAGTTTTTTCCTCTTATGATGAAATCTTTTTGTACGCATATACCACTACAAAAGAAGTGGCGAACGGTCATACTAATAAAAGTAGAATTTTGAGGAATCTCTTGGTTTACAATCGTGGGCTAAGTTTAATTTTGGTGACAATGTGTGATGAGAAGACTCAAAGGTAGATCTACCAGAAAAAGACGATAAATTTCACTTTGCTTGCTGCCAATTGACTATATCTTTTAATGACAGATTGAATGCCTTGATTAGTTCAAGTCAGATGCCAATCTAGAAACATGGGTGTAGTAGAACTCGGTTCAACCTCTGGTCTCGGCCGCAAGACTTATTCTATCCTACAGAGTGACTAATGCCGGAAATGTGTCAAAATATAAGCGCGCCCAGAAATTGTATCTAAGGTGACTTTTCAAATATCACATAGTTTTGCTTCCTAAATATTATTTTCATCCAGGCAAGAGTGGCCCAGGCCTCGTCAAAGGCCCCAGCGAGACTTAAACGCGGATAGTGCAGATGATAGTCCTGAAACGTTAACCACTACACCTGACTGTCGCATGTGCCGATGGGTCACAGGGCAGAAGTGAATTTTAAGGAAGTCTAGTCCCTTCCCCCATCGCTTTCTTTGGTGAGATTGTAGCTAAAGCAATATCATTAGCTATAGCAATCAAGTATATAACTTATTTCCGTGTTTAAGTAGGCTTTCAAGACAACCAGTAATAATAACTTCTACTAAAATGTTATTTATTTCCGTAAACGAGTCCGGTACTAACGGCTCAATGGGGTGTTATACTTTATCGAGAGGCCAGGAAACGTTCGGAAGCCTAGCGACCCAAATTAACAGGTTATGACTTGTGGTTTCATAACCTGAATTTTACGCGTACGGGCTTACAGCTTCTCAATTCAACCAGAGTTACTCACATATTGACACGATTTCGGTCAAGCTTTCCCTCAGGCCTTGATAATACGGAGCTGGAATTAGGCTTTTCTCTGATTACTCTGAGTTATAATCGGTATTGCGTACAGAAATTAGCAAGCACACACTTAGACAGTCACACTCGAGTATATGAGAATTAACTTAACTATGCTGTATTAATCTTTATCCAGGTATCTTTTAGATATGATTATGTAGAGCATGAAGGATATAGTCGATCAGCTTTTTTGACTTAGTTTTAGCCTGATACTTTTACAAGAATAAGTTCCAGCTCTGATGACGTCATTCGTATGATTGACGAAAGCCCAGCCCGTCTTTACTAGAAAGGAAGTAGCATGTTTTGTGGACTGCGTCAAACTGGACGTCGTAGTAAAACCAAATGGCGGCAGTACAACAAGAATTGACCATCGAATTCTGGAGAGACCGGCTTACGAATCTTCTCATTATGCAATATCATAGGACATAAAAGTATCCATAACAATGTTATCTCAGGAGGATAATCAAAACCCGGTATTCTTTCGTATGTACACAAAAAGTGAATAAAGACAGGTTGCGCTTAGTGCGATTTTGAATACTGCGAAATTCAATTTATTACGAATTAACCACAAGCAATACGAACCAAAATTCAGCTTAATAATGTCAGAAATTGCAGGGCAGTTGTTCATTATTCCTATTTTGGTATTTGTCACGCTATCAAGTTTTATAAGTAAAGAAAGTATATTAAAGATTTTGTAACACCCATTTCTTTAAATATGAAAAAAGGAACCTCTAAATTGAATATTGGAAGAGAAAAAAAGAACCGACTGGAGATTGAAGAAGAACAAAACTTTTATGTAATAAAAAGACACGAATATTGAGATAGCAATTCTAAACTTGGCAAACATGGTGAAATGCATAAATCGACGGTACGAAATATTTCAGCGCATGCAGAAGAAATGAACGGAAAGCTATATCGACAGCAATTCATGGGATTTAAAACCCACCTCTCGGAATATTTGTATTTTATGGTAGATTACCGTGAGAATTTAATTTTTATCCTTTTTACAGCAAACCCGACATCTTTAGTTCAGCTCTATGACCAAGGAAAATCTTAACTATTAAGACAAAACTATTTAATAAGAACTTTTGAACTGGCGACTGCTCAAACAGCAAGAGAGTATTTTTCATTTATAAGTAGGTTTTTGAAACTAACAGTAGATCATGTATATGTGATTTATTCACGCTATTTCTTTAAGGTGATGAAAGAGTGGCAATTGAATTTCCTCACAAGCATCAAATTTTCATTTAATCTTGCATAGCATTGCTTTCCAAAAGATGTTAACATTCAGAGGGGACTGCAGTTTCCACCTTGCCTAGGTCTCCATCGCACAAAAAACGGGACTTGAACCTGGACTGTGATAATGCAGCTTATAATCTCGACCCGAGAACCATTACACTACACTGCGATGAGTTCCCTTGGTTCATGGGGCAGATGTGGGTTTCAAGGAAGGCGAGACCTTTACACATATCACATTCTTTAGTGGGATTATGGATGAAACAATTTGTGTTTGTTGTAACAGTGGAATACATTAATTAATTTTTAGTCCATAAGTGGGTTTTCGAGACTACCAGTAGATCAGTTATATGAAATATATTAACTATCTTTCGCTAGAGATGAAAAAAAATCAACTACTTGGCCTTCAGCACATTAAACGAAATACTATGAATACATCTCATATATATATAAAGGTTCAACTGGTAGTCTTGAAAACCCACTTATAGACGAAAAATAATAAGGTAATCAATTGCTATAGCAAATACAGCTTTTCTTTATCGATAATACCACTACAGAATGCGACATGGGAAAATGCTTTATCTTCTTTGAAATTCACATCTGCCTTGTGACACAGGGCACTTGTGACGGCGTGGCGTAGTGGTTAGCGTGTCGAGATTGTACGCTGCACTACCAAACTCCAGGTTCGAGTCCCGCTAGGGGTGCTGATGAGACTTAGGTGAAGTTGAAAAAGCAGTCCCCTCTTGCCTGGATAAGAATACCTTTTGTGAAGTAAGACTTTATGATATCCAATGGAAATATGATCGATAGTTATATGATTACGGGAAAATGCAACTACTAGCCATTCATCACCTTAAACGAGATAGGGTGGATACATCTCATAGAACAGGTGATTATGCGTTCTATTCTGCACAGCTTTGCTTATAATAAACCTTTGAGTCTTGAGATTTTTTAATTATACTTAGCTGTGGAAAAGATAAAAAGTTTTTACTATGCCTTTCTAATTGGGTGGAACCAGTTAAATGACTGTATGCTTGCTACAAATATTACGATTTCGAATAGTACAACATTTTAAAGTGATTAATTACTCGTATAATCGCTACATGTCTGTAAGTGAAAACTTTTGGTCGACATGGTTAAATAACTAGCTTAGCTCGGAAAACAAATGCATTTATGTTCCCATAATGAATTTGAGATAATTGGATTCGAAAAAACTGATCTTATTAAACAGAGTTGACAAGTACCGCAGATATTGCTGCTGTTGCGTTGGTTGGCATTTATGCATAGTAGGCATAATATAGAGAACTTACAACATTCCCTGAACTGGTACCGGATGACAGCGAGGCAGAGGCAATTTTTCAACTTGCGTTCCACAATCTTGACGCGCTGTTTGCACGTCTTTTTGTTGCACGCCTCCAGCTCCTCAGACTTCTGGCACTGAATTGGCTGAACTGACGTCTCCACCTGCCTCTTGCAGACGGTGCACTTGTCGTCGGGTCGAAAGCGAATAGTGACTAGATCATGGCTCTTGCCGTCACGACAACGCTTCTGCGTGACCGATGCCTCGGGGCACTTGGCACAGGCGATCGGAGTGACGACTCGTCGTTGGGTGCACTTAAGGCCCACACGGTCATGGTATACCTCGACGCGTTGCTGAGTGCCCGTGCAGACATTGCATTTTGTCAGTTTGACGGTGCGTACAGCCGCACAGGCTGAGCGTCGGAGCGGAATTGAGCAGAACCCGAAATGGAAATGGAGAACCAAGTACATGGAATGCAGTTACTCGGGTCGGGATCAGACAACTTTGACACTTATTATTGAATGGGAAAACACCTTCAACACTTAATTATTTAATCGTACAATCGTGAATTGTGAAGTGACAAAATATTTATTTTTGAGACTATCAGCAATCTCTTAACAAAAACTCAATCATTGTTGGGGAGATTATCATTTCGTACGAAAGCACATGAAGCAGAGATTAGCTGGACTGCTAATTCATATTTTGCGTGTGTGTGTGTTTGTGTGTGTATGTGTGTGTGTGTGTTAACGTGTATACGCAATATCGGTCTTAAATCAAAGTAGCATTAACATTTTTTGATCAGTGCTTTAAAACCGGTATTGTGTAGAGACGTCAACTCGCACATACACCCATTCTAGCAAAAATAGCCGGAAAAATATAAAAGATAAGTAGCCAAGCCATTCCATATCAATCTATGTCTTTTAATTTTCTTTTGGCTTAATTGACTTTTAAAAGAATGAATTACAGCTCTGAAGATATCCATCACATAATGGATGAAAACACAGCAAGTTTTCACCAAAAACGAGGAAGGATGTTTCGTGGACTGCGTCAACCTGAACGGCGTATTAAGGCCAAACGGCTGCAGTACAACGGGAATTAGCTGTCGTATTCTGGTTAGATCGACCTTCGGATATCCTCTTCTTGCACTTTCCTACGAACTGAAAGTCTCCCGAAAAAGTTAAATTAGGACCAATTACTCGTCGTACCCACAAGAACCCATCCAGTCTAGTCCGTTTAAGGTGATGTAAGAACTGATAGTCGGGTTTTTCTACAATCCGACCAATCCTCACGATGCCATTGGACTGCTGATGAGATCCAGGCAAGATCGAAACTACACTTCATCCTACAGAAGAAGACCCAGTAAATTCTATGTGAAACTATCAGCGCTCCTACAAGAGGTTGCTACAGGTGATTTAGGTGTGCATAGTGGAGATTTCGCGCGCTAATATATGTAGAAGGGGTGGTGAAATATAGGCAAAGTCAAAATCGTACTCCAGTCGAGTTTTGTTTGGTTTGAAAAACCTTTCTAGAGGCAAGATTAATTAAAGGAGTGGGTTGATCTCGTTGTCGCAACTTGGTCTTGTTATCAGGGTGACTTAGTAGAACGCACCTAGTCCGAAGTCGTCTGTCATAGTAGTTATCTTAAATCCCAGCATCAGACAGTTGACTTGGTACATTCTCAAACGTTTCGCCGGTATCATAGTCGGCATAATC